ATCTCACTTTGGGATATGCATGTACTTTGCGGTCTACCGATATCTGGCGACATCTACGATGAGTATGTTCCAACTGCCTCGCAATTAACAGGGGAAGCATCGACTCCGCCCCTCAATGTTGTAAGTATTTGTTCCAAGCATACTGTCACCTTGGTAACCGAATTAGGCAACGAGGTGGTCGCCGTGTGCAATGGGAGAAAAGTCGTTCAGTTCACGTTGTTGAGTGGATAGAATTCTGGAGCAGAAGACCGCAAGTTTATGACAGGCCACCGCCTAGGAAGGAGGATAAGAAGAAGACTCGCCCGAGGAACACTCATAATCCAAGTGGCAAGATCCCAGCATTCGGGGGTTGGACCAAAACGACCAAAGCGCCTTTTGCTGAGCTTGGAATTCCCTCCGAATACGAGGAGGAGACCCATTTAGCGGCATACCTAAGTTGTTGGCTGTGCGTATTCGTGCTCCCCATCAAAGCAACGCGACTCATTCGAGCCCAAACATTCAAAATGGCTAGTCTAATGGCGACGGGCAAAACACTGAACCTTGGGATCCCCATACTTGCGAGCATTTACAATGGATTGAATGTAATATCGCACTCTAGTACGCCGGGGTCAGTTGATAGTCACTTTCCCATTCACTATGTGTATGGATGGCTGTTGTTTTACTTCGACACTCATTTCGCAAATGATCAAACGTCCGCTTCCCCGCTGATGATCGCCTACTCTGGAGAGGGTGGCGCGAGGTATTATGGACCAGTAGAGGCTCGTCGTAAGATGTTCAAAGCCGACAGCGCCAATTGGCTCTGCACAACGCGCCGCCTAACTAAGGATCTCCACTTCCTCGATAATGGGGACGCACACTCTACCGACCACGAGTACCTCATGTGTCTTCGTTCTAACCACCTCATATTGCGATGGGCGGATGCATGTATCGCAGAGCCTTACACTCCTCATCGATTCAGCCGACAGTTCAGCTACTACCAAGACGGCAGCTCTGGCATACTGGGTAATGATGAACGTGAGGTCATGCTTTCGGAGGGTTTCCAACGTTAGCGCCACTCTACACTTAGGGGTTCAGGGTCGCGAGTGACATTTCCCGCGACTCGAGTTACTGTCACCATGAAGAAGTATTTCTCGCCGGGCTATAAAGATTGGTGGGCCCAAGTCCATGGGGACTACCTCGAGCGCAATATCAAGGGTTTAGCTCCTGAGGATCCAGCCAACGTGCAGCAGGAGGGTGGCACTGCCAAGAAGGGCAAACACCCAGTCCAGGGAGATGAACCACCACCCAAGAAGAGAAAGGAGCAGATCATCTCGAAAAACAGGGCTGATGTGGTACGGTCGGACTCGGGTGATGAGGAAAGCCATGACCGTCACTGGAAACGGCGACGAGATAGACGTTCGCCTTCCCCAATAGAGGTAAATCACTGTTCTCGCTTATCCCAATGATTGCTGGTAGCACTTAATTTACCCTCTTTTACTTCTTGACAGGAAAATGTGGCGATACCTGCTAGTGGAGGGGCTGAGTCATCGAATAAAAGGGTGGCAGCCAGCAATACTGGAGAAAGTGGACATTCAAACAATGCCTCAGCATCAAACACGCACCAGTCAGGGAATTCCCTCGACGAGCCACGCTTAGGTCAGCAAGATAGACCTGAGGTCTCTGTCTTTGACGGAAAAGACCTCGTACTGGAAGAATTTAAGGTGGTTGTCATAAATGAAGTTAGTTCGCGCCAAGGCGGAGGAATGCGACACTGCGATTGCCAAAATTACAGATGACCTGGGCAATGCTAAGACTGCCATTTCGGAGGCTGAGGCAGAGGTCACCCGCATTAAGGACCTGACTGTACTGACGCCAGAAGATGAAACGAGCCTAAAGGAGGCAAAGAGAGGCTTAGAAGCGTGCAAAGACGATATGCTTAGCTTTAGGCTTTTTTATTGACTGATACTCTTTGTCATTTAGTTTCTCTTTTGATTGCAAGAACTTTTGTTGTTTCGTTTCTAACTTTTGATAATTGAATGCTTCTCATTTATGTGCCGGTCCTTTAGCGATAATTCATACAACTTTTCTTTCACCCGTTGAAGGATTGTCTAGATAACCCACTCTTGCAACATGAATTGGATTTGATTTTGTTATGACTGAACTTAGATAATTTGATTCTAAGCTACCTACGTACTCCTATCAAGGAGATCAAGTCAAACGTAGTTCAAATGATTTTTTTTTACAAAGTAGAGCCGTTCACAGTTTAGACTCATGTGGGCCAGGAGCGTCTATGATTTGAGCCCACCCATAGGCAAAGCGAGATGCATTAGCAGTTTAACCACGTGCTGCATTTTTGGTGGATGAGTCATTCATCAGATCTTCATGACTTGTGTTGACACCCCAAGTTTAAGGGTGGTAAAGTTTTAGGAACCTTCCATTAATTGGACCGATCTTCAAACCATCTTCACTAATCAGCTTGTAAGCCCCACCGGTGTAAACTTCTAAAATCACGTAGGGAACATCCCACCTTGAAGTGAACTTGTGACCGGTTTTTCTCGTGACGATGATGGGCCTGCGAACAGCTAGGACTTTGTCCCCAATTTGAAAGAAACGAGTCCTTACCCTTTTGTTAAAAGCTCTATGTAACACCCCAGATTTTCAAGACATTTAAAACTTATATAACAAGGATAACGTCTCATTAAATCCCAAAGTATAACATAAGCGTACGGGGTGCTATGCCACACCTGGGCTAGAGGACCCAGGTGCACAGGCTATCTAACTAATATCCTCCGAAATATAAATGCATAACATGGCACGCAGGCCGAAAGGGAAACTACTCTACTTCTACGCTCCAGTCTAGCGCGCTCCAGTGCTCTAATCCTCTGTGCCTGAAAGCCAAATATATCTGTTCAGCGAGAGATGCTGGTAACCCACTCCAACGCGTTGAAATACAATACATATAGAGATATATATAGATATACGAAAACCATTTTGAGCATGAAGATAAGGCTAGACACAAGCAACAGTTATAACAAGCGTATACAATCCACAACAGGCAAGACAGATAAAGCTGAGCACAATTAATAATCATAACCCAACATAAACAATCCCCAGCATAAATCCCATAGTCACATCCCCCAAGATACTCATAATCACAACTCATCCATATCTCATCACATAGCACACTTTGTTGGCGCCACAGGACCAATCGCATGCCCATACATGAGGGTCAGCGCATATAGCTCTGACACGGCCCCGCAGCACCCTGCCCCGTATCGCAACACGGAGGGGTCGATCGCAACCGACCGATGAACCGCAGCTCATCATAATGTTTGATCGCAACCAAACAGTGGACCGCAGCCCAAGAGAATGTCATCTGACCGCAGCCAGGAAATATGAACCGCAGCTCATGTAGAAACGTTTGATCGCAACCAAACGGTGGACCGCAGCCCAAGAGTGTAAATCTGACCGCAGCCAGCTTCTGAACCGCAGCTCAGGGTAACCAATCCGATCGCAACCGAATTGGGGTATCATGCACACATAACACATAGCAAGCACATGCAACCCACGTTAACACATTGGGAAGGGGAGGAAGCTTATAACAAAACCTATGCGTGATCCTTCACATACTAAGAATGGCCCTAAGGGGTTCATACTTCTTCCACCTAGGTCAACGGGATACCAATTCAACTAGCATGCAATATAAAAGACTCATAAACCTACGAACGATACCCGAAACATCAAACTAGACACGGCACGATGAACGGAGTCCGTTGGGACACCACGGGGATCGGGGAAACATCAAACGGGGAAGCCGGGGTCCCGAATGGGGGAGATTTCCAGCGGGTAGCCGGTGGGTGGGGGGCCACCCGCCGGCTGCCCGCCGGTAAGCACTGTTCCGGGCAGTGGGTCGCCGGCGGGCAGCTGCCCGCTGCCGGAGACGTCCCTTCTGGCCGCGGGTAGGTGGCGGGTCCCCTACCCCCACTGACTCTTTACACACAAAACGCCCCGGGAACCATTGTGGAACCCGAAACCATGCTTAGACACTTTACAACGCAATTAACGATCAACACGTAGACAATTAACGGATCAAATACGAGAAACGTACGGCACATAACCTATCATGCTTTTCTAAACACAATCGACACCCAAACATGCAATTTCCCCACCCGATACACCAAGAATAATATCATACGATACAACCTAGGGTTCTAATCACTTTTATATCAACGAGAATACGATTCGTCTTCTAATTACAAGATTTGGTAAGAATATCACATAAGCATCAAGAACATCACACAAGCATCAAGAACGCCAACAAGAACGTCAACCTAGGGTTCTAATTACTTTTACATCAACAAGAATATGGTTCGTCTTCTAATTACAAGATTCGGTACAAATAACACATAAGCATCAAGAACGCCATACAATTATCAAGAACGACATATAATCATCAAGAACTCCACATAATTATCAAGAACACCATAATTATCCAGAATCTCCCAATATCAAGATCACCCATGGAATTATCCCATCGATCATCAATAATAATATCACAAATCATCAATACACAATAATATGGGGAAATCCTACGGGGGAAATGATAGCTATGAAAATAGGTTTTGTTGAGACATGGGTTACCTCTTAGCCTTAATTAATTCCTTGGCTACGAAGGATCTTTCTTTAAGCTTTCTTACTTTCTTGATTTCTTCTAAGGGGATTCTTGGAGCTCTTTTGGGGTGGTGGGGCGTTATTCTTGTGGTGGGGATTCTAAGTGCCTCCTTGTGTTCCCTATTTATATATCTAAGAGTCTTACTTAGGCCTAATTACTATAGGTTTGCTAACTCTATTTCTTTTGGGATTAAGGATTGGGTTTAGGGATAAGGGCCCATGGACTATAGTGGGCCTCCCTAATTAATTGTTGTGATTTAATTCTTTCTCTTAGGTGATTAATTAAATGATTTAATTGGTTTTAGGGGTCGTAACACGGGGTGTTACACTCTAGACATACGAGCTTGATATCACTCCAAGCTTTGTTGCGCTTGCAGACGTTTTTCATCCAAGGCTTCTAACTCAGCCAAGCGTAGCTTAACATTCTCTTCATCAGTAAGACCCTCCTGTATAGCCAACCTTAAGGAAGGTATTTGGCGCTCTAGAGGCAAGACCGCTTCCACACCATACACCAAAGAATATGGAGTGCTTTGAGTAGGTGTGCGGTATGTGGTTCTATACGCCCACAAAGCTTCTTCCATTCTGTCATGCCAGTCCCTTTTCGATTTTGAAACCACTTTCTTCAACAAATTGCATAGGGTCTTGTTAAAAGCTTCAGCAAGCCCATTCGCAGCTGCATAGTAAGCTGATGAGTTTCGCTACTTAAAGTCAAAAAGCTTGCAGATCTTGTCCATCAACTTGTTGTCAAAGGGTTTCCCGTTATCTGTTAAGATATATCGCGGGATACCAAATCGATAGACGATGTGGACACGGAGAAAGTCTGCAACATTTTCTTTCTTCACCTCCTTCAATGCCACGGCTTCAGCCCATTTTGAAAAGTAGTCGGTGGCAGCTAGTATATATGCGTGCCCTGCAGATGACTTAGGCGTAATTGGGCCAACCACATCAAGTCCCCAAGCATCAAATGGCCAAGATGTAACTGTTGGGTGTAGAGGTTCTGGTGGCTGATGAATAAAGTTTGCATGATATTGACAAGCTTGGCACCTTCGAGCATAGTCTATGCAATCCTTTACCATTGTAGGCCAATAATATCCCATTCGCTTAATGTGGAAATGCAACTTGGGATCGGATTGATGTGCACCGCAAACCCCAGAATGAGCTTCTTGCATAGCTTGTAAAGCTTCCTCTTCCCCTAGACATCGGAGAAATATTCCATCAAAGGAACGACGATACAATATATCTTTATAGTAGATGAAGCGAGGAGTTCGACGCTTTATATCCACCCTTTTACGGGGATCTTCATGTAACTTTCCATCAGTGAGGTAGTCAATTAATGGTTGCCTCCAGTCGTCTTTGCCTATATCATACACTGAGGCAGTAGGGAGTTCAACAGTTTCATCAACTGAGCCGTCTTCATTAAGGATTGGTGGAACCACCCACCTTTGACATACTTGTATTCGGGCTGCAGGATGAGCAATAGTTGAAGCCAATGCGGCTAAGGCATCAGCTTGCTTATTTTCTTTCCTCGGTACATGTTCAATTGTGACGTCCCCTAACCATTGCATGAGTATCTTTGCATAGTTGTTATATGGGACTAACTCCGCCTTTTTCACTTCATATAGACCCAACACTTGGTTTATGATCAACTTTGAATCTCCATAAATGTTAATTCTTAGTTGCTTCATGTCAGCCGCTATTTCGAGCCCAAGTATCAATGCTTGATACTCAGCAACGTTGTTTGAACATTGCTCGGTCAAGGTGAATGAATATGGAAACACCTCGCCTTCCAGAGTGACGAAGACAACTCCAGCACCTGCCCCCTCTCTATGCGAAGCTCCATCAAAGTACATCTTCCATGGGGGTAGGATTTCAATGACAAGCAACATCTTCATCAGGCAAATCGTCAGACAACTCCCATTCAGCAGGTATTGGATGGTCTGCTAAGAAATCGGCTAAGGCTTACCCTTTGACAGACTTCTGCGGCACATAGATGATTTCAAATTGTTGGAACAATAAGTACCACCTTGCAAGGCGGTCAGAGAGCACGACCTTCGCCATAACATACTTCACCGGGTTCGCTTTGGAAACAAGTCGGATTGTATGAGCCTCAAAGTAGTGCTTAAGTTTTTTGATGGCGAACACAAGTGCCAAACATAGCTTTTCAATTGGGGAGTACTTTAACTCGTTCGGGGTCATCATTCTACTAAGATAGTAGAGAGCATTCTCCTTCCCTTTGTTATTTTCTTGAGCAAGCAAGGCGCCCACAGAACAATCTTGGGCGGAGATATAAAGGATCAACGGGCGACCATGAACAGGAGCGGTTAGCACAGGCGGCTTCATCAAGTATGACTTGATACTCTCAAATGCGCTCTTGCATGCCTCGTCCCATATGAACGGGATGCCCTTTTTCATCAACCGACTAAAAGGTCGACATCTTCCTTCTAGGTTTGATATGAACCTTCGGATGTAAGCCAACTTCCCTTGTAAGCTTTTAATCTCATGAAGGTTTCTCGGCTCAGGCATCTTCATTATGGCGTCAATCTTTGCTTGTTCAATCTCGATGCCCCTGTGTCGAACAGTAAACCCGAGGAACTTTCCAGCAGCAACCCCGAAAGCACATTTCAAGGGGTTCATTTTGAGTTGAAACTTCCGTAGGCGGTCGAAGACTTGCCTTAAATGCACCAAGTGATTTGTGCGCAATTTTGACTTCACAACCAGGTCGTCTACGTAGCATTCGACCATTTTATGGAGCATATCATCAAATATTGTTTGCATAGCCCTTTGGTATGTAGCACCTGCATTTTTCAAACCAAAAGGCATTACTTTGTAACAGTAAATGCCTTTCGGCGTTCGGAATGCAGTTAAGTCTTCATCTTCCGGCGCCATGCGGATTTGATTGTAACCGGAGGAGCCGTCCATGAATGACAGGATCTCATGCCCAGTCACGGCATCTATCATTAACTCCGTGATAGGAAGCGGGAAGTCATCTTTCGGGCATGCCACATTGAGGTCCCGAAAATCTACGCAGACGCGGATCTGGCCATTCTTCTTGCGCACAGGCACAATACTGGATATCCAGGTTGGATATTTAACTTCACGAATGAAGCGAGCCTCAATAAGCTTATTAACTTCTGTTTCAATTGAGGGAATGAGCTCGGGGCGGAAACGTCGTTGAGCTTGCTTAACCGGGCGACACCCCTTCTTCACTGCTAAGCGGTGCACAGCTACCTTTGGGTCTAACCCTGGCATCTCCTTGTATGTCCATGCAAAGACATCAATATATTCTTTCAGCAATGTGACATAGATTTCTTCATCTTCATCGGATAGGAGTGCGCTAATGAAGATAGGACGAGGATTTTCAGGCGTTCCCAGATCAACCTCTTTTAATTTGTCCACCGCGGCTCGTACCCCTTCTTCTAACTCATGGGGTGCATCTTCTGCATCTTCCCCCTCAATCGGGGTTTCATCACATAAAGTGATATGGAAAGATGATGCCACCTCTTCCTGAGTGGTTGGTGGTACATCATCACTTGAGCCTACGCTTTCCTCATTCTCTTCTTTATGTAGACGAGTGTGTACAATGGTCTCCGGTTGGACTTTCAACACTTCACCACATGAAACATGAATATATGTTTCTCGTCTCATCCGGGAAGGAATCATGCTTCTAAGCTTTTTGAGGGGCTCCACTTCAGCAGGAACATTGGCACTGTCTTTAACAACTTGGACAACCCCAAGTCGATCATGCATTGACTTTCTCTTTAGGGCTTTAGGACTTGACCCCAGTCTATCAAAAACTGAGCGTCGAGAGTCCGCCTTACCAATTCGGTCGAAGACTTCTTTTTGTCTTGCCCATTATCACTGGTAGGAGTGAGTTTTGGGTCATACTCGCTTCCCTCCGCGGAGATACAATTACTTGCAGCCCTGTTTATGAGAATTCGCACTGGTTTAGGAGGGACATAGCCCAACCCTTTGCGCGTTTGAGGTTCTTGATGACTTGCCTTGCCTTTACCACTGGCTTCTGGGATAAGCTTTCCCAACTTCTGTGGCTCGTTGGGGTTATAGCCAGCCTTGGCTAGAAGCTTATAAGCGTTAGGGTCGAAACCCTCGGTACGTTTGGCGGGGAATATTTGGCCCACTTTATCACCACATTTCTCCTCGGATGATTTTGCTGCATCTGTTTTGAGTGTATCAATCCTTGCAAGCGGGAATATGAGTTTTGTGTTGTGTTGATCTCCCTCTACAACTTGTTTTCCCTTTGACTTTGATTGGGAAGGTGGATCGTCATTGTTTCCCTCAATATCTTCAACAATAACTTGCCTTTTAATGTAGAACTTTGCATCTGCAAAGTAAGACTCAGCCTCTGTGAAAGGGCTTTCATCGGCGACAACCTTTTCAACTACGCCGTTCTTTTCAAACATGAGGCATTGATGCCAAGACGAGGGTACCACCCCATTTTCATGTATCCATGGCCTTCCAAGTAACAAGTTATAAGATGCCCTTGCATCTATGACGTGGCAGAGGACACCTGAACTCAGACTTCCAATTCTTAAGTCAAGTCTGATGATGCCGATTGCTCTTTGACCTCCTTGGTTGAAGCCTTGTATCATTAGACGACTTTGGGCAAGCTCGTCTGTAGATATACCAAGGTCCTTCACAGCTCGGAGGGATAGGATGTTGACAGCCGAGCCTTGATCAACCATAATTCTTTTAAGCCTTTGCCCACGGGTATAGCCTTCAACAAATAGTGGGCGATTGTGTGGCATGCCTCCAAGTAACGAGTCTTCATCCTTGAAGGTAATTTCTGTGGAGTAGGAAGTAGCCTTATGCATTAGCACTTCCTCATCCCCGATGTGTTTAGGAGATGAACCTTCCCCTCCGTCTTTTGGCTTGTCATTCGTATTTAGGCAGGAGCTAGAAGTGCCTGCCCCTTGAAGATCAAATCCCTTTGGCATATATTGAGCCAAAGGAACTGGTGCACGTGGTTGTTTGACATGTCCCTTCGTCTTTGATTTGCGGGCATGGGTATTTTTTGAGGTTTTCTCAACCCAACTTTTCACTATGTGCTTTTGATGCTTCACAGGCTCAAATTTCTTCTTTCTATGAGTGACAATCACCCATTTACCTTCGGATGCGTTATCATTCCGCTGCGGTTCTGAACTTTGACCGACAGCGTGCTTAACAATGAAGGTGAGTGGACGTTTCCGTTGTTTCCCATCTTCCTTTTCAGTACATAGCGGAGCGAACCGTCCGGGTGTAATCGAGATTTGATTTGAGCTTGCTTTGGCATCGGCAAGCTCGATTTTTCCATCTCTGGCCAGTGCCGTTACTTTATCTTTGAAGATAAAACACTTCTCAATCGGATGACCAAGAAGACGATGGTACTTGCAATAGTGTGGATCATCCACCCTTGAAGCTTCCTCAGGACGTTTCATTTCTGGCAACTCAATGAGTCTAAGTTTGAGTAGCTCATCAAACATGGGAGATACATCGGAATCCATGAAAGGATAAGTCTTCTCCTGCCTTTCTTCAATTGTCGGCCTTCTACCACCCCTTGACGGGCCAGAAAATGGTCTTGGCCTAGGCCTTTCAGTTGCCTTAGTGAAGACTGTCATAGGAGTAGCCTTCACATTCATCACTTCTTTCTTTTCCTGCTTTGGAAAAGGTTTGTTCCACTTTTTAACTTCTTGTTTTCCAGGTGCATTGGAGGAGCTAGGCAAGTTCAATATGTTGAGCCCTCCGCTGGCTTCGATGCTCAATTCCATGTCGTGAGCACGACTGGATAACTCCTCAAAGGACATTGGCTTAATCCCTTGTAGGATATAGGAGAGTTCAAAGCGCATTCCTTGGATGCACATCTCAATTGCAGAACTTTGGGATATTCTTTCTTTGCAATTGAGGCATAGTTCCCTCCACCTTTCGATGTAGGTACCGGCGCGTTCACCCTTCCATTAGCGAGTAGTGGTGAGTTCCAAGAAGCTGACCGTTCTCCTTGTGCTATAGAAACGAGTTAAGAACTCACGTTCCATATCATGCCAGCTATCAATGCAGCCGGGCGCGAGGTCAGTGTACCAATCAAACGCAGTTCCCTTTAATGAACGGACAAACTGCTTTACCAACAGATCGCCATAAGTCCCTGCATCATTGCATGTTTCCACAAAGTGGGCAATGTGCTGTCGGGGATTTCCTTTGCCATCGAATTGCTGGAACTTAGGAGGTTGATAGCCGTAGGGCAATTTCAACTCCTCAATTCTTTGTGTGTAGGGCTTAGCATAGGAATATGAAGGTTGGCCTTCATCCAACTTGCCTTTGATGGCCCCCATTATGTAGTCCTTCAACTGATCCACCGGTATCATGCCTTCGGTAACTGGAATAGTTTTCTCAGTTGCAGGTAAGTGGGAAGCAGCTTCTCCTACCACATGGCTAACATGAGGTGGTGGTGATTGCTGACCAACCTCTTCTTGCCCTTCAGGTTGCTTTCCTGGAGCACTGCTTCCTTGCTCCTCCATGATGCTTTCTACCCTATTATCGAGGGTGTTAAGCCGTTTCTCTTGATTTTGGAGAGTGTCAGTCATTCCTTCCAGAGACTTAGCAATTCTAGCTAATTGCTCCTCCACAGACTCTGTGTTTGTCGCCATGGCCGGCATGACGTTGTAGACATGCGACCACTCAGGTGCAGCCTTCCATAATGGATGTGGCGGAGTTACGGGGGAAGTGCTCCTGCTACTAGCGTTCCCTTGCATAGAAGTTGGACTACCCCCATCGGTAGCTCCCCTGGGAGAGGGTGGACTTCCAGCAAAAGCAATTGCCTGTGAGGCAGCAGGGGCCTTGTTGAGCCTTCGAACCACCCGTCGTGCCATGGACTGAGGTTCAGGCACTTGGACCCCCA